TTGAAGAGGTAAGATCTTTTCTTTTTAGTCTTAGTTGAGAGACGGTATTTGACTAACCATCTCTAGCTGACAATTCTCAAATTTGTATCTCCATCCTTGACATCTCGGTCAAACTCCAGATTTGTACATCCAATTGCCTTCTCAACATCTACACTTGGGTTACTAACAGTTATCATAAACTTAACTAAACTCCCAGTCTTCCCTTTAAGCCTATTTTACCAGCAACCTTTCTCATTTAAATTGATGCCAATTTCATCCTAGTTGTTCAATCCAAAAACCTTGGAGTGATCTTTGACTGTTTTGTTTCACAGCCTACATCCAATTCACCAACACATCTTGTTTGCTTTACTTTTAAAATGTCTTCAAAATTCACTCACATTTCATTAACTCTACTGTTACCACCAAGCCACCATTATATTTCAAGTGGATTATTGCAGTAGCCTCTTCAGTGGTCTCTCTGCCTGTAGTCTTGCCCCATATGTGGTTTGTTCTTCATATAGTGGCCAGAGGGATTCCTTTTTTTTTCTTTTTCTTTTTTTTTTTTTTGAGGCAGGGTCTCAATCCTGTCGCCCAGGCTGCAGTGCCATGGTGCAATCACGGCTCACTGCATCCTCAGCTTCCTGGGCTCACATGATCCTACCACCTCAGCCTCCCAAGTAGCTGGGACTACAGGCACACACCACCACACCTGATGAATTTTTTGTAGTTTTAGTAGAGACAGGGTTTTGCCATGTTGCCCAGGCTGGTCTTAAACTCTTGGGTTCAAGAGACCCTCCCACCTTGGCCTCCCAAAGTGTTGGGATTACAGGTGTGAGCCACTGTGCCCAGCCCAAGATTTCTTTTAAATGTTAAGTGATATCATGTCACTCTTCTGTTCAAATTCTACCATGGATCCCATCTCACTTAGGATAAATGCTCATGTTTTGCTTTTAAAGTCTTAGATGTGAATTTATACTAGTGATTTCGTTTCTCTAGTGCTACCTGATATTTTGTACAGTCTAAGAATCAAAATAAATTAGCGTTACCGTGGCAAGCACTGTGCTGTCAAAAATTCAGGTCAGTAACAATCAGTATAACCTTCCTGGAATCCACTGTTTATTCTCACAAATTTGAACTCTGTCTATTGAAACTATTTATCAGTTTGGTTAATGAAGATTATCTCTGCTGTATCTTTAGGAAAAAAAGGGACTGCTATGCAACTAAAATGTAAACAGGAAAGAGCTTTAGCTTTTCCTTTGGGTTGAAAGGCCAACTTGTTATTTATTTTCTGTAAAGCACTTATAAATTCACTTCGTGTGATAAACATGTGGTCAAAATCAATTGTACTGAATGCAAATAGTTCTTGACCAGGGAAGTTTTGAATTTCTCTATGCATTGTATTCCTGATACCTTTCCTGGTTCTGTCAGCAGCATTACTCAATCAATAATTAATTGAACAAAACATTCTTTCTTTTCTGATGTTTACCAAAGTTATCCGCCAACTTGGGGAATTGGAGGAGGTTTCTCCTATAGGTATTTAGCAACCTCACCATTTGTGACTCAGTTGGAAGGATATAAAAAGTTGAACAGTAAGGGAAATATGGATTTCAAAGTCTATGTACTTTGCTCTAGCAGAATAAAAATCCACCCTCAGGTTTCAGCCTATGAAAAGGGAGGTTTCTAGTTGTACTCCATGGCTATCTAGTTTCTATTTAGGTTTTAGCAGATAGCAGATCAGAAACAGGGAGGAGATTTGTGGAGGGCAGGGCTACTAAAAGTTGATACTATAAGAAGTGATTGTGAACTCAGAATGTGCAGAAACTGCAGAATTAATAGCAATAAAGCTGTTTGGAGCCATTTAATGTAAAGCCTTGAAGAAATTGTTATATTATAGCTTAGCCAGTAAATGTTGTTTAAGATGGTGACACTAAGTCATCTGAAAAATAACTCTAAAATAATGTCCAGGCAACATCCCTATCAAGATGGAATATATTGAAGAAAAATTTCTACCTAAAATGGTTTACAAATGTATAAGTGGTATAACAAAGCAGTATATTTTAATTTTGCTTATGCAGGCCTGCTTATTCTCAGAATATGACAGATTGAGGAGGACTTATTAAACATACATGAGGTTAGCAGACAGCTTAACCCATGACTCTGTGGAGAGAAACAATTAAACAATCTGGGGTCAAAATGCAGCCCCATTGCTTATCAGTTGTAAGTTTGAATTAATCATGGGAACATCTGGTTTCCTTAATTATAAAATGGATTTCACTATTTCTACCTGTAAAGTTGTTGCGAAGACTTTATGTACAGAGCCAGGTACAAAGCATGTGCACCCGACAAAGACAACATCTGTAAATATTGAGAAGGAGTCATTTACCTTTATGACTTTCCCCTTCTTCCTCAAGGTAGCAGTGACAGACTCAAGTTTTCTCTTCTCTGTATGTAGGAAGTTTTATACCAGGACCTGACTATGATTGGGTGATCAATGTACCATGAGAGGTTCTCCATGGCTGGGCTCATGTAGACTACTGGCTGTCTCCCCTTTCCTTTCATAAATGACTCTACTCATTTCATTGGTGAGCTCCTGCATCCTGCTGTTTCAGCACAGACTAGCAGACTTCTCCTACAATACAGGATCCTATAGTCCAAATAGACCTTTGAGTCACACTCCCAGCCAGTCTCTGTCTGCTGCAATGTCTTTAAAAGATGACCTTGCAGATGGTTTGATTAAACGTTCTAGTGTGGAAGTTCCCTAATTATTACACAGCTCCTTTCATTTCCAGTGGCTTTTATTACTAGGCTTACAGCATTATTCTCTGTGTTCTTATGTATTAATTCATGTAATATGGCAGCCCTACAAAATGGATATAAATCTATCTTTGGCTTTGAAATAAATTAGGTGCAGGGAGGATATTACCTGCCTAAAGGCATACAGCTAACAAGTGACAGAGTAAATCCACTATGCTAAGTCTTCTTCTAAATGACAGTACCATGATGGAAGAAAGCTGTCCACCCTGTCTTCTCTTCTATGTCTAAACCATTCCTCAAATTATATTATTTTAGATCCATCTATTCTCTTATTTATTTTCCTCTGGATACTCTCTTGTGTGTCTCTGAAATTGTGGTTCACAGAAACGAATGTGATGGTCTAGATTATTTTGTATCTAATGCTTATATTAACGAACTCTAATATAGTATAAGATGTACTTATAGGATCAGTACCTTTTGCTGGGCCTCCTAGTTGGGTTTGCAGCTCATAGTAAGCTTTTATTCAACGAACATGACTGGGCTGCTGCGGTAGCTCACTTACTAGTCTCTCTGCTTTTATTCTTACCCCTTTAGAATCTATTCTCTAAGCAGCAGCCAGAGTGACCTTGCTAAACCTTCTGCTAGATCACTTCTCTGCTTGAAGCCTTCCAGTGTCTTCCCATGTTGCTGAGAGTAAAGTTAAAGTCTCACAGTTAATTGTCTTTAAAACCATCCTGATGTGACCCTAGCTTCTTCCTCGACTTCACCTCCTACCACTTTCCCCTGCACACTGAGCTCCAGTCACAAAGACCTCTGATGTTCTTGAAATCTGCCTACATCCTTTACACTTGCTGCTCCCTCTGTCTAGAAAAACTTCTTCACCCAGATATCTGCACAACTTTCGTCACTTCTCTCGAGTCTTTGCTCAAATGTTACCTTCTCAGAGCGGCCCTCCTTATAGAAAATTCCTCTTCCCACCTCATAATTCTCTACCTTCCATTTCTTGCTTATTATAAGTCATGGCATTTATCACAAACTATTTGTGTCTTCCCTCTGTCCTCACCTCATGTAATACAATATTTATTAGCTTATGTTCAATATATAGAATAGCATTTGGCATATAGTAGGTAGTCAATAAACAATGGTTGAAGCAAGATTCTTGTTGTTTTGGACATGAATTGTTGTTTATCAGAAGACTGCCTAATCCTGTACTGTGTGGTTGTTTCAGGGAACATTTCAATCTAGTCATAGCATTTTACATTTTGTTAAATCCCTTATTGAAACGGAACATATACTATGTCTTTGGATATATATATATATGTTTTTTACTATTACATTCTATCAAAGGGGAGATAGGGCAGGCAGCATCTGACTTATTCATAGTGAATTCCTAATAGACCAGAGATATATTTTTCCAAGTGCAAACCACATTCTAAAAATTATACTTTATAACTTTACTAGGTGATAAGGTCAAATTCTTCCCTCTACCATTATGAAACCTACCTCCTCCCTCAATCTTATTGAAAAATAGAACATCTTTCCTGCATCTCTGGTCTTCTAATTTTTTCTGATTCTCCATTTTTTTTTCTCAAAGACAATGCATTCCTTTAGGCCAATTGTTTTTCTGAGTCTCATTCCCTGAGTTTTTAGTGAATTCTTTCCATTCTCAGAATGGGCTCAGAGAGAACGCTTCTGGGTAACTATCAGAACATTGACATCGTCTCAAAAAAGTGTGAACAAAAATTCCAGTAATTCAGTTAGTCCTTGCCATTCTGGGCTAGTTTTTCTACAGAATCAGTGTAGACAACTCTCCCTTTTTCCTTGCTTCTCAAAGTTTCTTGGCTTCTAGCATTTTCTTGACTCATTGCTATCCCAGGCTCCTTGTCCAGTTATTATTAGCTTTCAGATTTTATATCTTACTTTCTCTGTTTCAGTTTGATCAGGTTTATTTTCTGCCTCAGTGAAGTGAATTTGGACTACTCCCATTTTTTCCACTAAACCCACATGTTTCATTCAGGAATTTACCTATGTAGAAATTTATTTCTGCTTTTATTAAAGTAACATTTGAAATTTTTGTTCAAAGACTCATGTGCTGTCCTCTTTCTATCCTGTTTTTTCTCCTACTGTGTGCAAGAAGTGAGTGGATTTAGGCTTCCTGGAATGTGAGAGGGGCCTTTCTGAAATTTCTGCAGTGATTTTTTTTTTTTACCCTCATCTCATTTTCATTTAAAATTCTGTATTATTATTATTATTATTATTATTTTTTTGAAGTAAAAGGTCTCACATATTTATTACTGAACCCAGGCAACCAAAACCTTGTTGTTTTTTTTTAACATGAATAATGGAAGCACTGTGCGTTGTACTAATGCCTTCATAACAGATACAGAAAGGAAACTGTTCAAACTTCTCCAGATGGCAGTGACATTTTTCAGCTTGATTTGGTAACACGACTGTGACCTACAGACAGCATAAATATGTGTGCCATCACTTAAATTTGTGAACTGCTTTATTCTTAAAAGGCTAGTATATTTTTATTCACATCAAGGGAAGTAAGAGTCCACCTCTTTTTGATGCAGTGTAACTAAATCTGTCATCTTCACTGAAGCACAAGGCCCTCTACCACACCACTATCTATGTCTCCACTATTGCTCTTAGACTGTTGACTACAACTTAGTTAAGAGCCTATGCTCTAGAATCAGAGTACATAGATCCATGTCCTGATTCCACCATTTGTTAGCTCAGTATGGTATAGCAAGTTATTTAAACTTAGTTTCATAATTCATAAAATGGTGATAAAATATTTGCCTATATGTTTTTTTGTGATGCTCAAATGAGATATTATAATACAAAGCACTTTGAACGGTTACTTATAATCGTTTTTTTCCAATACAAAACTTTGGAATAAGGAAAAGCAGTGGATGTTTTTTTTAAGGCTTGATTATTGCAATGTAACCTGAACCTGGAAGACTTGTTTTTCTGGGTGAAGAAATATTTTCTCTATGTCAAAGTTTCACAATCATAGTCAAGCAGGCCCATGAACGCTGCAATTTAAAGTGCTCCTCTCTTTGATCTGTGGCACTGATACATACACCTTGGTAATGACGACATTGAGCTCACTTCTGAGATTTGACAAGATAATCACTAAAATCTCTTTGAATTCTATGTTGTTGTGATCCCATGGCTACAGAGCACCAGGAGTTGACATAGACACTCTTTGGATTTCATACCATATGGAGGCTTTCTTACATCCACGTGACCTTGACTGAGTTTTGAATAGGTAAGTGAAAGAGAAGGAGGCACTCAAAGAAGTCAGGCGCAGAACCAGTGTGAGAAATGAAATGAGCCTTTTTAAGTTTTGCAAAGGCAGATTAGGAGAGCAGACCTGTGGAGTGGAGAGTAGTCATAATTTTTAAAAAGTGGCCTTGGAAATTAAAACTGATCAGAAATATGAATTCCATAAAGACAAGGGCAAAGTCATGTATTTGGAAGGGAAAATGTTACCTAAGTAGAGAGTTTCTGTGAATATGACCTTGAAATAAAAATAAATGAGAGATAACTGACTATTTATGAAATTGTCTGAAAACCATACAAACACCAACATTATCTTCATGATCTCTAATTTTAGACTTCTTTGGTAATTGTAAAATTATAACATTTTCTGTGTATCTTTAACAGCTTTCTAGGAAAATATTAACTGAAAGTACCGGTTTTGATTTGGCCATAAAGTGACAGGAGAGCTAAGGTTCTTTAGAATTAAAGAATAACGTTTTCTTATTTTATTTACTTTAAAAAATTATTCTAAAATCTGTTACATATCTGTCTTCTCCAGGATGAACTTTAAATTGGTTCAGAAGATTGTTTACTGTGTTCTTCTTCTTTTCTTTTTTTGGTCCTTCCTGCTCAGTGCCCAACCCAAGTTCAAAGGCTGATAAGAGAGAAAATCTCATAAGGAGGCTTTAGTCTAGGGAAAGTCACTCAGTGGATGTGATCTTGGCTCACAGGGGACGATGTCAGGCTCTTTCTGGCTCCTTCTCAGCCTTGTTGCTGTAACTGCTGCTCAGTCTACCATAGAGGAACAGGCCAAGACATTTTTGGACAAGTTTAACCATGAAGCTGAAGACCTGTTCCATGAAAATTCACTTGCTTCTTGGAATTATAACACCAACATTACCGAAGAGAATGTTCAAAACATGGTGAGTTCTCATGGCTCTATAGGGCTATTTGTTGCTTTTTAAAGATTAGATTACCGCTCATGAAACTGTAAAGGGAAATCAAAGAAATGCTCTGAGTTGTGAGATTGGATGTTTGCCTCCATAGCTCTGATTCTGGAGACCCAGATAACTAAACTTAATTGACCTTGGGGTTCATTCGGGAAATTGTTATGAAATAATTCACTGATCTCAATCCAGATGCTTGGAAACAAGTGGATATTCTTTATAGAGTTACCACCATAATTCTCATCACAGTCAGGATTTCAAGGCATTTCATGGAAATGCCATCAGTTATTGAGTTAATATTTTCTTTTAGCCTACAATGTCAACAGGAATATCTAAAGATTCCCTACACGTGATATATCAACTGAAAAATGCAACTGGAGGCTTAGTGAAAGAACTAACTAGTAATTAAGCTAATCAGGGCTCGGGTAAGGCTGGACTTGGGAATTCCTTTCGTCTTTGTCACAGAGCTCCAAGGGACTCCTAAAGGTCACAGAATCCAGGCAGATCCTTCCAAAACATAAACATAAACAAAAACAAACAACAAAAACTGTGATTAAACCAGTTCTGACAAATATCAGAATGTTCTGGGAAAGCCAGATGCTTTGTTTAACAAGTGCAAGGATTTAGCAATTTCTTCTCTCACAGATCCCAAAACAGTATCCTTCCATATTTAAGTGCTGAGAAATCAGACAACTTTATTTAAGAAAAGATTATATGCACTGACTCACTAAATTAAACACAGTGTAGATTTATTTTAATGAGACTTTCTGATGATCAATTTTATCTTTTTTGGGGTTAACGATGAATGAACTTCTTAGAGTAAATAACTTCCTCTGTAATCCCCAGTGTTGAACATTTGCTGATCAATAATGCACTGTTAACTGAAAATAAGTAAATACTTGAAATTACTGGCTAGGTGCGGTGGCTCACGCCTGTAATTCTGGAACTTTGAGAGGCCGAGGTGGGTGAATCATTTGAGCTCAGGAGTTCGAGACCAGCCTGGGCAACAAACTCCACATAGCAAAACCCTGTCTCTACAAAAAATGCAAAAATTAGTTGCGCGTGTTGGTGTATACCTGTAGTCCCAGCTACTGGGGAGGATGAGGCAGGAAGATTACTTGAGTCCAGGAGGCAGGAGTTGTACTGAGCTGAAATTGTGCCACTGCCTGGGAAACAGAGCGAGACCCTGTCTCAAAAGAAAAAAGAAAGAGAGATAGAAAGAAATTACCATTAATATTTCTAAGGCCACTTAGTACTTCTAATCTTGGTTTTTGTGATAGGCTTTTTACCTCAAAGAAGGCTTGCAAAATCTGAAAGACATTCTTCCATAAAATAAATATTTATAATATGCCATGAAGTAGATTTTTGGCAGCTCATTAATACACAGACAAGTGTTTGGAAAAACGATTCACACTGTAACAAAAGCATAGTTTTGCCACCCAAAATATTGTTTCTCCAATAACCACTTAAGCCATTGAGGTTTGTTATTTGTTATTTAGTACAAAACAAACACCTTTTGTTATGTAGTACTACATAACAAAGTTGCTTGTTATGTGGTATTATATAATAAAAAACAAAGTTGTTTGTTAAGTAATATTAGTGTAGCAATTAAGAACGGATGCAGGAAGGGAAATTTGGGCTGCATGACATGTGTATGTTCATATTCTATCAGAGCGACATGATTGAGGGTAATCTACCATTCCCGTATTGTCCTATGGTGTAACTTGCAGAAGTCAGACTATTTTTGTCAGCCTATGGATCTGATCTAATGTGGTGATCCTTATGTTAAGCTGTGAGAATATACCTCAAAATAATACAAGTCATCAAAACTTGATCAGCATAGTGTCATAAAGCTGCCAATGTAGTGTAGAGAGGTCCATCAGATAAAGATAAGGAAAAAAAAGCTTGGTAAAAACAGGTTTCCAAAGCTGTCTCCCTTTCTCTGCCATTGTGGTATGTGTGGTTGACTCCATTTCTCATCATGTCTTCTTACAAGACTTTCGGGATCAAGCAATTCCTGGCTAGAAAACAAAAGCAAGGACACTGTAGATATTTCTTGGTGAGTTTTCAGAAGCCATGAAGAGAGAGCATGAGGCCTATATATATATATATATATATATATATATATTTGAAGCAGGGTCTCACTCTGTTGCCCAGGCTGAAATGTGGTGGCATGATTGTGATTCATTGCAGTCTGACCTCCTGGGCTCAAATGATCTTCCCGCCTCATTAAAAAATTTTTTTTGTAGAGACGAGATCTCACTTTGTCACCCAGGCTGGTCTTGAACTCCTGGGCTCAAGTGATCTTCTTGCGTCAGCCTCCCAAAGTGCTGGGATGACAGGCATGAGCCATTGCATCTCACCTACCACACTTACTCTTTTTGTGTTCTCTAGAACATCTTCTTCCCCTGCTGCCAGGGCCCCTAGGGTCCTTGGGCATGCCCCATTTCTGGACCTATTTATGTCTCCAGAGGTAGTGCCATAGTGAACTCAGAGCAGAGCATGAGTTAATTTTAAACTGCTATTCTGTATATAGCCAAGGAAACTTCATCCCTGTCTCTAATGAGTCTGTCCCATGCCCCTAAATACACATGAACACCTTCCTACAGGTACAAGAGTCGGGGAAGATCACTGTGCAGCACATAGAATAAAATTCAGGGGCGAGCACTTTTTTTCCCATGAGATAAAATTCAGAAAAAATAAAAATGTTCATACATATTAAAAATTTTAAATGTTAAAATATTAAATCTCCCATCTCAAATAAAGAAAAAAATAATTTCTTAAATCCCAAGCTTGAGTTATGGAATTCACATTCTTAAAATTTACATTACTTAGTTTGTTAAATGGAATGTGTGTGTGTGTGCACGCGTGTGTGTGTTTTAATATGCAAGTACCTGGGTATATTTAGAAAGTAACCAAGGCAGCTTTTGTCTTTGAACCAAATGCAGTTTTGACAGCTCTATCTGGAAACTGGGCTGGCATATGGGGGCCAAGGGTGAAGGTTTTCCTGGGAGATTTTTGGGCTCCAACGTACTGGATAGATGCTAAAGATTCCATTCAGTTTTTCATTTTCTATCTTCATGGAACTCTCACACCTACAAGGGAAGAAGTTGTTTAGAGGTTACTAAAAGTATATAGCCTGGTTTAGGCAATAGTGAGCTATAGAAAAAGAGAAAACAAGTTGTCAATACTTTAAGTCTCGAACAACTTATCACAAAAGGATTTTAATAGTTTAAATACAATTATCACAAGTTGGGTAGAGACCACCAGACCTATGGCTTAAGAAATCGTATACCTAGTTTATGCATATAGTTAGGGCCAAAAAGAGCAGAGTATCTTTTAGAACGTTTTAAAATATAGTTTAGGATTTTACACATACAGTCCTTGAAATTACAAAAGATCTCTCACAGGTTGGGAATATGGTATCCATTACAGTTATAGATGGGGTTTAAAGAATGTTTTAATTTCTTGTGATTATCTCGAACAATGTGTGCCTTACTCCCAAATCTCCCTGTATGGCTACAGAAACTGTTGCAGTTTTAGTTGCTTCTCTCCTGCCTTTGACCAGAGATAGTGTGGAATGCCACGAATTTTATCTGTAATGGTTCCTTTCAAGCCTGGGGCTATATAAGCTTCTATATATGTTTCATTTCATTCATAATTCAGCCTACATATAGCTATTGACCACTAAATTATCTGATAGGTATGAATGAACTGATTCTTTGCATAACTGCTATGCTGTCTGTTTTCTTTAGGCTTGGGAGCTGTAGGCTAAAGATATGGAATAAATTGTAATAAATTGTAAATAATATTAGAAGAATAGCTTGGCAAGGAATAATATATCCTTAGGGGCCAAAATGCAAAGCAACATAAAGTGATTTTTTTTTTTGGTGATATAATTATAACATGTGTAGGATGGTAGTGATAAATAAAATAAAACCAGATAACCTTAAAGTTCCCACATGTACTATGACAGTGTTCTAAGACTGAGGCCTTTGGGAGATTATGAGTTATTTCCTGTAGATTGAGAGTAAAATTATTCCTATGATTTGGTATGAAAGTTTTACCAGAAATTTTGCTTCACAGTAAATCATCTGGATTGGGTGAAGATGGGTAGGGATTGAGAAGTGTGTCAGGTAGGTTGCATAGATGAGTCTGTGCTGCAGACCAAACTCCTCTTCCCATAGCTCACTTCTTCCCACTCCTGCATGTTAGAGAGAAGACTAGAATGTGTCAAACACAATCTATAGGAAAATAGTTCAGAGCATTAGCTTTAGAAGTAAACACATCTGGGTTGATGCCCCGGTTCTTCTAATTTCTAGCTGTGTGAGCTAGGGAAAGTTACTTATCAGCTGTGTGCCTCATTTCCCTTATTTGTAAAGCTGAGACAATAACAACTCCCTCACAAGGTTGTTTTGAAGATTAATCAAAAGCAGTTTCTGAGAGGTTGTGAGTGTTCAGTAAAGAAAGAAATTACTTTCCTTTTTTTTTTTTTTGAGACAGAGTCTCACTCTGCCATTCAAGCTGGAGTACAGTGGCACAATCATTGCTTACTGTGCCTCAGCCTCCCCAGGCTCAGGCAATCTTCCCACCTCAGCCTCATGAGTGGCTGGGACTACAGGTGAGAGCCACCACACCTAGTTAATTTTTGTATTTTTTGCAGAGATGGCGTCTCGCCATGTTGCCCAGGCTTGTCTCAAACTCCTGGGCTCGAGCAATCTTCCCACCTCAGCCTCCCAAAGTTGCTGGGATTACAGGCATGAACCACCACAAACAGCCTATTTTCCATCTTCACTGCCACTATTTTCTTTATGTCTTGTGTGGCTCATTACTGCCACTTCTGTGCCCCATTTCTATCATGTCACATGCGTACTCAAAACCTTCAGTGACTGCCTAATTCTCAGAGGGTAAAAGTGAAATTCCTTGGTTTGGAAAATGCAATCATGCCTGAACTTCTGCCTGTGGGAGCTGTACAAGTTATCTATTGTGCAAAAAGTTACCACAAGCTTAGCAGATTAAAACAATACACATTTATTATCCCACAGTATCTGTGGGCTAGGAGTCTAGGCATGGTTCAGCTGGATCTTCTGTTTCTAAGTCTCATATGGTTGCATTCAAGGCGCTGGCTAGAGCTGTGGTCTCTTCTGAGGCTTGACTGGGGATGAATCTACTTCCAAGCTAATGCAGTTGGTCAAAGGCCATTTTTAATTATTTGCCATGTAGCCCTTTCCATAGGCTAGCTCACAACATGGCGTCTTGCTGCAAGTCAGCAAAGGAGAGAGTCTTCTATGAAGATCGAAGTTAAAATCTTATATAACAGAAACATGAACACCCTGTCACCTGTGTTGTATGCTACTGATTGGAAGTAAATCACAGATCTGCTCATACTTATGGGGAAGGGATCACACAAGGTGTGACCACCAAAGGCAGGGATCATGGGAGCATTCTTAGAGTCTGTCTGCCACAGGGCGAGGATCAGATGCTGGTGGCTGATTGCCAGCTCCACTGTTTATTTCTCTGAGCCACTTTCTGTATGTATAAAAAAGGAGAGAGAGAGTGATTTTCTACCTCATAGTGTTAATTGAGAAAATTAAATGAAGTAAATTATTTTTCAAAATATTCTCTACTCATCCAACTCCTACCTAGTTTAAGGTCTGTCTTATGTTGCAACTTCTGCATGAGGGCTTGGCCAAACATAGTCACCTACATGCATTTCTTCTTTCTTGCAACAGAAACTGCTTGGCCCACTCATAATTTATATATTATTATATACTCTCATGTTTCATTAATGAAACATTTATAATGTATATCTTATCTGTCTGATAAAATTGAAAGCAATGTAAGGACAAGGTACTTTTCCCTATACATAATAAAATATCAAATAAATAATAAAATAATAATAAATAATAAATAATAAAATAACTAACATTTGTTGAATGGTTGGGATATGTTAGGCACCCTTGTAAGCATTTCATTTTTTGTTAATTCTTCTAATCCTTACAACAGTCCTTTGAGGTAAGTCATATTATTACTTTCATTTTGCGGATAAAACAACTGTGACTCAGAGAGGCTAAGGTATTTGAGTCCAGGAGTGGAACTCTTACTTTCCTTACATGCTATCTCTTTTGTATGGTCTATAGCAGTACAGTATACCAAGTAGTTGCTCACTTTGGTCTTTAGTAGATGGAAATGAATTTGTACATTGAGAAAAGACTACACTAGTGTGGAGAAGTCCACTTTCCAACTGATGTTCAAGATGGGGGGAGGGGAAATGTGTCCTGGCATCATCACCTGCTTGATGATTTCTTTTGCTGGTAGAAAACCACCATGGCTACCAATGGCCATTTTCTGGGAAGCCTTCTTTGGGAATTCTAACTGAAGATCAAAATCCTTGGGCTATGTCATGGCAGGTAGGAAGTTACTATGAACTGGTTCTCATTTCTTATGGTTCCCAATGTTATTAGGGGGCTGTATTCCCATTATGTACACTCTGGGCTCTACTGGATTCTCTTTTTAAAGCACTCGTCTTTCAATTTTTGGCCAACTCACCCACGTCACAGCACTAAGGCTAAAAATTCCAGGGCCCCACAATGTGGATTATCTGTGAGAATTCACTTCCAGTTCTGGGGACAGAACCCTTGGGAAAACCAGGCAACAGGCCAGTGAGAGTGGTCAAAAGTAGCCTGGTCACTCTTAAACTAAACACTGACCTTCAGCAGAGTAGAGGACTAAATCACTCAAGAAATATTAAATGTTTCACCCGATATTCTTTGGACTATATCTTCTGTTCTCTTTGATCAAGCAGTGCCATTCCAACTTTAATTTTCTTTTATGCCATTTCAGAATGTTGCTGGGGAGAAATGGTCTGCCTTTTTCAAAGAACAGTCCAAACTTGCCCAAACGTATCCACTAAAAGAAATTCAGAATCTCACAGTCAAGCTTCAGTTGCAGGCTCTTCAGCAAAATGGATCTTCAGTGCTCTCAGAAGACAAGAGCAAACGGGTACGTTTGTGAACATTTTAGCATTGATCCCAAGAGTTGAAATATTTGGGAAATATTAAACATCAATATCACCCACAGCAGCTTCCTTTATTTGCAAAGATAGTAATGCTGACATTACAAAAAGCTCTCTCTATGCCTACATAAAGTGACCATATAATTTATTATTCAAACGGGAATATTTTTGAGAGTGAAAGACACTAGTAATAATTATATTCAAACACAGAGTTAAACTGAGATTGTCCCTAGCACTGTGGTGTGTATGGACACCCCCTTGTGTTAGGTCACCTTCTTGAAGGATCAGGTAGCCTCAAGAATAGTTAGTTTATGCCAGTGGTTCTCAACTGGGGGTGATTTAGTCCTCTGGGGATATTTGACAATGTCTGGAGACACTTTTGGTTGCCACAACTGGGGGATACTATTGACATCTAGTGGGTAGGGATGCTGTAGAACATTTCACAATGCGTGGGATGACCCCCAACAACAAAGAATGATTTTGTCCACAATGTCAACAGCAAACTTTTTTTTCTGTAAAGAAACAGATAATAGTAAATATTTTAGGTTTTGTGGGCCACATTGTCTGTGTTGCAAGTAGTCAGCTGTGCTGTTGTATCAGGAAATCAGCAATAGCTAATATGTAAATGAACGAGTATGTCTGTATTCAAGTAAAACTTTACAAAAACAGGCAGCAGACAGGATTTGGTCTGCAGAACATAGTTTGCAGACCCCAATATAGCCTATTGAAATACTTTTAATCTAAAATATCTAGCTATTTAAAAAGAAATTCTTCTTTCTCAGTTGCTTGTCCTCTGGAACTTTGTATGTTCTAATCTGTGTATATAAAAATAAAAGTGCATCATACATTGAGATACCATCTCACGCCAGTTAGAATGGTGATCATTAAAAAATTTGGAGACAGCAGATGCTGGAGAGGATGTGGAGAAATAGGAACACTTTTACACTGTTGGTGGGAGTGTAAATTAGTTCAACCATTGTGGAAGACAGTGTGGCGATTCCTCAAGGACC